TAGTCTCTTCGGGCCCGCTAGTCCCGTCAACGACTACAGTGCGAGTGCGAGTGAAAGAGTGTTTTTTAGCTAGTGCGAATGAAATAGCTATAGAGCGTATTGTTTCAGTCTTATGCGGTGCATGGGGTTTAAAATCACCAAGCTACTGCGAACCCGAGAGAGCCCTCGAACGTTTACGGACTGAACCCGAACACAACCGACGAGAATACTTTTCGCGAGAGACTCTCAAAGAGAACCGCTCCCGCTCTGGCGCTCCCCTTGGGGTGGATCTTGTTTTTCTCTCCTCTCTTTCTCACTCGCTCTTGTCTGGAATGGCTGAATCGGTGGACCAAAAGGGTAACATTTCCAAATCCCGGAGAGAATAAGTGACTCAGTGATGCTGCAAGAATTTAAACAAAAAAACCCTGGTTTGAGTTTATATAAAACTTGCCCTTTGGTCCTAGGGTAAACAAGTACAAAAACATCTGGCAGTTTTATCAGTTTAGACTGTCTTATGCCTTAATTCCATTCGCCTTATTGTCTTGTGTCCAAATTTATTCAAATATCGCTTTTATTTGGAATCCGAAAAATTTAAATTTTCTGAACAAATAAATCCTAAAATAATTATAAAATTGCAACGTTTTTCTTACTTACATGTTGAATTCACAAATTATTCTTAAATTTCAAAAAGTTCTTAATCAACATTCTTTCTTTGCATACTTTCTAGGGTTAAGCCCTGTTGACTGTTTAACATCAGACGTGAATTACAATTTAATTTTAATGTCATCTGGCAACGCCATCGCTTTTGAGTTTAAATTTAATTCCCCGATGGGACACCACCCCTCCCAACCCCTGCCATATTGGAGCTCCATTTCAGTGCATGTCTTTGTGTGTGGAGGCGACAAGTTCTTGGAACCCGTTGTGTTGTTGTGTTTGTGGATGCTGGAGTGGTTTCACGTTTTTTCAAGTTGGGAGCTGCTGCACCACAAACAAAAAGAAGAAGCGAAGGCGAGAGAAAGAGAGAACAGAAAACACAAAGGAAACTTACAAAACACTGGAACTCTCTGCTTTCACTGCATTTGTATACCTGGAAACCTCTAAATACCTGATAAGTTCCAGCAATTACCCGAATTTACCTGTGTTTAAAGTATAGGGAAACAACACTTAGCGGGATTTTTCATGCCCTTCTGGAAGCGAAAAGAGAACCCTGAGATAGGAACAAAACGAGAACGCGGCTACCTGTTACACTCGTTCTTCCTTCCCTCTCTTTATCCGTGCCCGTTCTTCAGGTTTGACATTCTTCTTTTACCTGTTCCATGTCCATAAATTCGAAGCGATAGTTTTCAAGACCCCGAAGCCGTCTTAATCGTAAATTAAATATTTCAATCCGGGCACACACTAGCTTATCGGGGCTATATGATTATGTAGGAGTATATTCTCGACACCCTATAAAACATACTACCCCGCTTTGCTCTCAAGTGCGTGTATTCGATCGTAAAAACTAATTAAAACGGTCTAGATGTCGCAATACTCGGCTAGTTTCAGTATTCCGAATTGTGGCTGATAAGGAGTAGAACTTTTGCCATGGGAACTGAACTGGTTGCCATAGGTGTTATAACATCGTAGATCTGGGTTGATATGGCGGACATTGGGGTGTCTGAAGGTCCCACTTGTTCTATTTTTTTGTGCAGGGGAAGACACTATTCAAGGCTTAACTGCTATATTATAGAAACCACTTACTAATCTTAGTTTGTATCCTAACTATTTAGACCCAAGAGCGAACTACGTACGTACATCATTTTCATTTAACGATTGGCTACTGTCCGTCAAGCAACCTGAGAAGCGGGCGAGCGGCAATAAAAATCAGTTATAAAACCATTAAGCCCATATGTCCGCGCGCCGATGTGTATGTTCATATACGAGTATATCCCTAAATGAGACGACTACTGTCTGGGCTATAAATAGCCGGAGAAAACCGCAGCGAACCGAGGCGAGACCCAGGTCTTAATTGCCCACTAACGCCAGTACCGAGTCCAATAAATCAGATTGGATCACTTTAGTTTTCGCACCCCTCATCGACATGTATCTAAATTTCGCACAAGTTGTCACAAGTTGGTAGAAATCAGAAACCAAGATAAAGTTATTAGGAAGAAATTATTGTTCTTTGATTTTCTATTTATTTACATTTATATTGTTTTATGACCACGAATTGTTCTCCATGTGCTCTTATTCTCCCCTGGCTTATGCTTAAATGTATCGGCTTAGTCATCGTCTTCATGCGAAACCTAACATCAACATTCATATTTGAAAATTCTCCGAAAATCGTCTGCGTCACGTAAAACAATCTGTTGGGGAAAAGATACATCTGCCAGCTACGCATGCGTTTCTCTCCCGCGATTTGTTTATTAACTTTACTGATAGGTATATTTTCTGTGGACCCGATGAAATGCTATGTCAAATAAACTCTGGACCTTTCTGTTTGCCTCTTAAATTAATCTCACTACCACAACTACAATTACTACTACAATTTTAGCCAAATACACCACATCCAAGTGACTCCATCAGCAACTTCTCACTGTCAAGCAGAATTTACATAGATATCGAATTGCATTCTGGTTAATTAGAGAAACTTCTATAGCTGTCAAAACACTTGTCAGACAGTAATTAAGATTTAAATTAGGAAAGACTTGACCCAAAAGCAATATATTATTCAGTTTTGGAGGACATCTACGTTTAACTAGTTGAGCGGGCATTAAATTCTGGTAATTTACGATCGAGAGATCAGTGGGATTTATTTAAATGCCAGCAAGTTGTTGAAAAGAATATTATTATTATTATTATTTTCTTAGTTACTTGATTGATTGTCGATCAAATTAAGTTGGAGCTAGAAAGGTTGGACTATAATTACAATTACTATGCAAAACAGAAAGCAACAGATGCCTGAGTTGCGTCACTAGTCGTACTGAATATTAGTTTCTCAAAGCGATCCATCCACGATTTCATTTGCATTGCGCAAAGTTGTATCAGAAACACTTTCACTTTTTCAGCAGAATTTTGTTGCAACGAATGCGAATATATCAATATCTCGATGTCTGAGCTGCACATATACATATAGCCGTACATATATATGTGTAGTATTGCTTATGGCTGGTAATTGAATCTTTAGCCGAGGGCAATACGTGTGGAGCGCCTTGCTTGAATGGCTCGAATTTCGTTTTCATTGCGGTTTGCTTTATTTAAATTTCAGTGCATTGCCAAAGACAAAAGCTTGCTGCACCTATAAGTTGTTTTTATCAGTATCTAGACTATGTTAATAAAGCGTTCTCCTGATATTCGAATATGAATCAATGAACCTTTGCCAACCCAAAAACAAAAAGGTGAGTAAAACAAAACCCACAATCACAGCAATTTCCAGCAAAAGGCAAGTCGAAGAAAAGTCGGGCAGTCAACCGGCTAAAAATGTTGCAATTACTAATATAGTCGGCGGGTTTTTGGTTACGCACGACTTCTATATGTGAAGGGGTCTATCTTATCCGACCAAGTTCGAGCTACTTATGTTAGGCTCTTAAATAATAGGCGAGCTAGTTAGATAAGCAACAGATATAGATACTTGTGGACTGATAGCAGGGATCTCCGCTGGCATTCCACAGCCCAAGGTATGAAAACAGACGACCTGGCCTGGTGGTTACTAAAAAATAAATACAGGCAACTCGACTCGTTGTCTCTTCTGGGGATTGACTAGCAGATAAGATTGTGGATTGTGGATCGGGGCAAAGAATGAAATACAGCCGTGGGAGGGGGTTAAATCCACCTGATTCACTTCTGAAGAACCTTGCAGTGGAATTGCCTCAACGCAAATAGTCGAGCAATAATCCTCTACTGATCCTCTACCATATGCCTGCAGCCCCTTTCGCTTCGTCTGACACTGATCTGGGTCAATAGCACCCCGCCCCCATGCTCCAATGTATATATATTTATCCAAAGGCTGTCCCATCCATCAGAATAGACAGCATTAAATCGGAATCTCCATTGGGGCGATAGCGGCACGCTTTAAGACCCGCTGAGTTCCAGATTGCGTCGGTTAGGTTTCTGCAAATCGACTGATCAGAAGCTCTGTTTGCTCTAGGGAGCTTCCCGTTTCTGAGTTTTATGATACTTCGAACTAGCTGGAATATCGTAGTATCAATTCAGTAACCTCCAGTAAAACTACATATGTGCTAACTTAACTATGGGATTTGCTATTCGAGATATCCATCCGGAATCTCTTGAGTCATAGATATTTTCTCGCACTGATTCATTTTGTTGTGATTGCTATTTGGAGCACTCGTGCTCGTTGTTCCCTACGCTCTGGGTTCTTTAATTTAGATTGGTGTGGGCTTACTCACCCACACACCTGGCCGAATTCTTGGGCCTTAGTCAGAAAAATGGAAAGCCAGTCGATAAGGTTTACCTGGAGAATTTGTTTAAATATCTTCTGCATTTAAATAGCTATACTTTTCTCTCTTTCTTGTTTTTTTTTTTTTGGGTCTTATTGAACCCACAAATCTCCCAAGTTGGCAAAACTGAAAAATAAAACGTGGGGTTTTTTTTTTGCGTTTCAAGATAGTGGATGCACTGTGAAAAATGCAACGTAGATTGTTAACACTTGAACTTAAGTGTCCAAATCATGTTATGCTGTCTCAGTGAGAAATCAGAAAGAAGTGCAGACATAAATTGCAATGAAGTATTTAACTTGAGCTGTGGAGGCCCACAGAAATCTCTCGCAGTGTATTGCACTCCAGTAGGGTCTCAAATTTCCCTTACTCTTTTCTTGGACAAGTTTGTATTTAACTCAATCAAATCGCTGATTCGGCGTTACCGCGAGTTTCCACCCGACGCCACTATCTTATCGGGTCTGGACGGCCTGGCTCTCCTGGCCAAAAGAGCACCCGATAAGGGGCCAGAAAGCCCTCTCCGAAGAACGGAGAATGGCGAACGGAGGCCGGAGATTCGGATACTCGGAGACCCAGAGACCCGGAGACTCGAGCCACGAGCCACGAGCCTTGCAGTTGCGAGGAGCTAGCCGCGACAAGCGGAGCGCACCAATCCATCCGACACACCAATCCCAACCCACTCGTAATCGCCTCAACCCGAATCCACTCAGCGAAATCGGAAGCGGCCCTAAGAAGAACCCATAAGTGTGGAACCCAAACCGTAGACAGCGGGGCCCTACAATGCTGAACACCTTCAGCTCGGTGAGGCAGTACCTCAAGTTCGATATCACGCGGGTGGTGATCGATAACATAGTGTTCAAGCTGCACTACCGATGGACCTTCGTGATGCTCCTGGTGGCCACGCTGCTGATCACCTCGCGCCAGTACATCGGGGAGCACATCCAGTGCATCTCCGACGGCGTCATCGCCCCGGTCATCAACACCTTCTGCTTCTTCACGCCCACCTTCACAGTGGTAAGTGCACGGGGTCACCAATTGAGGAGGGGTACATGGCTTGGCTTCACATTAGTTGCTTCACGGGGTCACCAAACATGTCGAATGGGGTCACCAGTTATCAGACTGCATTTGATAACCGATATGGATGAGCTCACTTCAGTGTTGGGTTAATTGAACCCATGTGTGTATACAATGTTTTATGATCGGAGAGTTAACTAGTTATTGGGTGTACAGATAAAGTAGACTGTGTTTTCCACCCACTTAGGTGCGCGACCAGAACCACACCGCCTATAGGCCGGGGAGCGAGCCGCCCGGAATAGGGCACTTCGACCCCGAGAAGGACTCGATCAAGCGGCACGCCTACTACCAGTGGGTGCCCTTCGTGCTGTTCTTCCAGGCGCTCTGCTTCTACGTGCCGCACTTCCTGTGGAAGAAGTGGGAGGGCGGCCGGGTGAAGGCGCTGGTCTTCGGCCTGCGGATGGTGGGCCTCACCCGCTACCTAAAGAACGACAGCCTGCGGATCGGCAAGCTGAACATCCCCTCGATGGCGGAAGCCGAGGAGCGAATCAAGGACATCCGCCGCACGATGATCGACCGGATGCGGCTGAACCAGTCGTGGGGAGCCCACCTGGTCTTCGCGGAGGTGCTCAACCTGGTGAACCTGCTGCTGCAGATCACGTGGACCAACCGGTTCCTGGGCGGCCAGTTCCTCACGCTGGGACCGAAGGCCCTCAAGAACCGTTGGTCCGACGAGCTGAGCATCCTGGACGTGGTCTTCCCGAAGGTGACCAAGTGCCGGTTCCACAAGTTCGGCGCCTCGGGGTCCATCCAGGACCACGACACCCTCTGCGTGATGGCGCTGAACATCATGAACGAGAAGATCTACACCATCCTCTGGTTCTGGTACTCCTTCCTGCTGGTGGTCACTGTTCTGGGTCTTGTTTGGCGGCTCTTCACCCTCTGCTTCTACAAAAAGTGAGTGCCCAGTTAGCTATTGGCTATTGACTACTGACTATAACCTCCCGTTTGACCTCTGACCTCTGATCTCTGATCTCCGATCTCTCTCCCAGCGTCACCTTCACCCGCTGGTCGCTCTACTGGGCAAAGCCTGGCCAGCTGGACGAGAACGAGCTGTCGGCGGTGATCGACAAGTGCAACTTCTCCAACTGGATGTTCCTCTTCTTCCTGCGCACCAACCTCTCCGAGTTCCTCTTCAAGAAGGTCATCTACCACCTGGCCAGCGAGTTCCCCAATCCCGACCACGACAACGACATTAACGCCTATCGGGAGGCGCCGCCGACGCCCGTGAAGCCCCGCTATCCGGATATCAGCAACCTGGACACGGTGGACTCGCCCCTTCTGCACCTCCGACATCCTGCCACGCCCCCCGCGGGCGGGGCCACAGCCCCCGCTGGACTGCAGGGGCCGACGACTTCGGAGATGGCCAAGCTGCCGGTATAATTTATGCACTTCAATTAACGCTAGGCAATTAATTATTTGAGCTTTGTGTTGTTTACACCTTGTTTTTTTTTAACGATCACTTCATTTTAATATATTTATTTTTAAGAGACTCGGCTTTGTCTCAGTTCGGCTGAAAGCAACAGGTTTTTGGGGACACACAAAAACATCTCAAAATGGCCGACAGCGAAAACCGTGATTTAGTGTTTGGTATTTAGAAACGAGGGGGGCAAGAAAAAAAAAATAAAAAAAAACCGACCAGACACCTCTGGCAGGGCAGGGCGTGTGGCGTGGGCGTGGCCAGCAGTTAGTGTCGAGTGGCGACTGCGGTTGGGTGACCCAGATCGAGCGATCCGCTGCGGTTTCGAAAGCGTTTGTTCCAAAGCTGACGGGCGAACCCAGCAAAGCCATTTAGCTGCGTGGATGGGTCATTGTCGGTGGCCCAAGACTGGAGGACTTCATTGGTTTTGCATCAGGAGATCCCGAGATACCACCAGTTCCCCACTTCGAACGCTCCCAGGTGAGTTTCGATCTGTTACTGGAAGATCACTATCTATTCTAGGCTTACAAGAAATTTTATTGGTTTCCCATTGAAAGATCCTGACATATCAAGAGCTCTTCGTGGAAGTACTTATCAGAGTAATCCATTGTAAGGACCTCGAAGAAGAAAAAAATGTACCCCTCAAATATGTTCAAAAAAGAATTCAACATTTTTTTTTACTTTCAAATTCGATATTTCGATCCGCATAAAGACATTTACACTTGCCGCTCTGTCATAACGAAACCAAATTTGGTCCGAATTTCATGTGACTTCTCAGTTGTCTTTAGCCATCAATTAGTAGGAGAAGCTTGGAAGCTTGGCCGACACATTTTGCACTTACTTTTGGCAACTGCTGCCAAATCGGTGCCGCCAGTCTTGCGCCACTTCGCTGCGAGGTGTAATGGCAAGCTAGTTATGACACCTGAGTGCCTCCAAAAGCGGCAGCCACCATTCGAATCCGAGTGGGACTCAGAATCAGAATCAGATTCAGATTCAGATTTAGAGTCCGAGTCCCCGCTGATTAGCTGACGAGATTTCGCTTTGATAGTTTGCGGTCAATGCCAACCGGCTCAGAGCGAATTGAGTCTGACAAAAGTTCAACTTTCAAAGCACTCCGGGGAGATATTCGCATTTGCCGGCAGAAGAAGGGGTCTTCGGACCGATCAGGTTTGTTTCTTGTCACCTCTGTCGCGAGATCCCCCCAGTTCTTGTTTTTTTTGTCGAACCCAACTCGATTTGGAGCTGTTCTGCTTTATTCTCTTTTCGATCCGATCGCCGCCTGCATATCAAGTGATTTCTTTCGCTTGGCCGAGACAAAAAAAAATAATAAAGACCAAACAAAGCAGAAAAAGCCAACTCTCGAATATTTCAAATAATAAATAATGTGCTGTCACTGCTCTTTGGCTGCTGGAGTTGTTCGCTTATAGGTAGATGTTTGCTTATATACGTATTTTATAACTAATATTTATATGTAGGTTGGAAAGCGATTTAAAATTTCTAGATAATGAAACTCGGAAACCATTGCTGTTATTAATAATATAGTACTTTATTTGTTCAACCCTTGCTTTAATACCATTTTATAAGTTTTCTAGCGCCTGTTTAGTTTGCTATACCCTCCTGAAAACTTGGAACTCAGTATATTCAACTATTCGGCCAGATTATGAAGACATATCTCCCTGTTTTGGTGCTGTTTCCTTTTTCAGTGATTGTGGCTGTTGCCATTGTTGTTTGCCCCCCGCTTTGGTGAATGACCGTTAACATTTATGAGATCGAATTTTGAGATCGAAGTGGACTTTTGGTCGTGCCTGTTTCTCTTTTGGGCAAGTCAAGCATTCTTTTCTTTCTTTTGAGTTACGATTTACTTGCTCCATTGACAGCGGTTCGATCGTTTAATGATGGTTAAAGAGGGGTGTCTGGAAATGAGGTGAAGCTGTGACAGAGATGTTGGCCCTCTGTGGTGAAATCGAGCTAATAGATTCGATTTGGTGGGCGTGGCAAGTTCTTTGGTTGATCCTGAAGCGAAGGTAACATTTGCTGAGAATTGTAAGTGATACTCGCCCCATTCAGGGCCACAGTGAAGTCTAGACTGGTCGCCGAATACCTTCAATTACCCAAATTGATGCGGCAATTAACACTTGTGAACTTTGCAGCTGCCTGGGAATTTGTGACCCGCCGAAGGGGTTGCACATCAGCAGCAGCAGCAGCAGCAGCAGTCGGGTGCCTTTGAGAAGTTTATTATGCCCCGTGCGCTTGGCTGGAATTTGTTGCCAATAAATTATATGCAATTGGGACACTTGTTGCATACATTTATTTGCCAATCTCTCGGCATGCAAATTTATTTCAATTGCATTTAATTTGTGCGGATTAGCGGACACAGCTAAAAACTTGGCGAAAGGGGTCCTGTTTCCCCAGCGGGGATGTGCGGCAACTTAGGGCCCACTGGCCGGACCCCCAATTACGTGGGGCAAGCAGCAGCCACAATTTATGGTGACTTATCAGCAATTTAGAGAAGTACGACCGGGCCTCATTTGCCATTCGAATTTGGGCACCGTTTTGCCCGAAACTTCCCAACACGTGATTCGCTTTTGAATACTCGCAATTGTGACTGGCAATTGGGCTGTGAACTCTCAACGAACGCATTTTTGCATAAAACCCAGGATGTCTCACATTTAAAGGCATGGAAAGACCTCCATAAAAGATTATCGAATGAGCAGCATTTAAATAGCACGAAAAAGAAAATCGTTTTTGGCTCAGGGAATCCTCCCCCGGAAAATGAGTCGATAAGTGAACGACCTTCGCCGTTGGAAAATTCGTTTTCCGCAAAGGAAAACTTCCGCTCTTTGTGTCCTTTGTGTCGTCATCTTGTGGAATCCTTTGGCTTCCGCGAATGACGCAAATATTTTCACGCGTAGGTCAGTTCGAGTTGAGTTTTTTTTCGGAGTTCAGATTCCTGAGTCGAAGTTTCTTTGTTGGAAACCGGGAGCGTGAATCAGGAAGCAGGAACAAAGGATTGCCTTTCTCGGACTCTCTCTTTCTCTCTCTCTCAGTTTGGAGCTCTCTCTTGTTTGGGTGGGAGAGATCCACCCCCAAAAGGATAATGACGCAGCAGCCTGGCGAGAGCGGATTTCACAGGACGCAGTTGTGAATTTCAGGGTTGACCAGATTGCGTTTGATTCGGGGGTTGTTCAACAATATCTACAGTTCCCTCTCCTTCCTCCCCTCTTTGCCTGCATTTTCCTCTGCCATTTCCCTTGCGCTTTTCGTGTGCAGCATGTGGCACACGTTTGATTGTTGGGAATTTACGAGAATTTTCCCAGTGCGTCTGTTCCTCAAATGTTTATTTCGGATTTCTGATCTTGACAGTGACCTTGAACATCTGGTGTGCAGATCTATATTTTTAGAGGAATTAAATCCTATTAAAATTTTGTTACAAAATACTATCTATAGTAAAAATGTTAATGCCAAACCACATCAGTTTTCATTTAATTTACACTACGCAATCATATTCGAGAGATTGTGGTGTCATGATTCCACGATAACTTCTTCACTTTAAAGAACATAGTTGAAAGGCTTAACCCACACATCACGTTGAATACATTTTAAATGTCACTCAGACGATTCCATCCCATTAAACACTATAACACCTCTCAATCAACCTTCGTTCCTATCTATTTTTGTGCCAAAAGCAAAGGGTAAAAAACCTAGAATTTGTTTTCTTTATAATCATCTTTATAAAAAGCGGGGAGAACAAATGAGATAGGAGGCAGGGCAAATGTGACAGTTGAAATGCTGATAAAGAATCGACGCGAAGCGATTAAATATGTTTACAAAGAAGGTCTGGAAACAGCTTGAGAATTTGTATATTGTGGAAAGCATTTATTTTATACAGGGTTCAGATCGTATTTAAAAAGTGAGGAGATTTGTAAGTAAAAAGTGAGATGTGAAAAAATAATTACATAATTTTTTATAAAAGAGCGAGATGTAAATCATTTGAAAGGTTTTTTCTTTCCCAATGATCTGCGATCTTCGGTACAATTTGATTTTGTAGCTCATCTTGAGTTCGTTTACACAATCTTACTCTTATTTTTCCCGCCTTTTTGGGGCGTGACTGTCGCCGAGGTTGGTGGCCAGCTCGAATTAGTGTCGCATGCCCAATGATAGCGCCCCAAGGCACTTTCAATTTAACCAATTACGCAACTGTCCGTCCGTTGAACTGTCCGTCCGTCCTTTAGCGGGAGTATAGGTTTGTTCTTGCTGCAATTTCTGCCTCAGGTTGCGCTCACTTTGAGCCTAATCAATCAGCCGCAAATTGAGCTGGCTTAAATGATCTCGTTCAATTGCCAAATGGAGGAATGTCAAATCCAATTCCGATTGATTGCCTTCGCCGGTCGATCGGAGGTCACCAGATCGTCGTCGGCTTTCAAAAAGGCGGTCTCGCATTGCCCTGGGAATTAAGACTGCAAAACTGTGTCACCGATCAAACTAATCAAGGTGGTATTTATGGTAACCCCTCAAAGTGTGTTTGCTGGGGTTTTCAAATTTACCTGATGCACGAGTTTTAATCTAAGAAAGTTTTTATAAAAGTGATTCTTAAATATGTTTTTATAAATAACTTAATATTAAAATTCTCTTATCATGTTTGGTTGTGAATATAAAACTTTTTTCGGGTGATTGTAACGATTTCTGGATATATTTTTCCACCTTTCTGCAGGGTGTGTGCTATATTCGAATGAAAAATTCCGCTCTCTCAAATTGCGCAAGCGTGGCTCGAAGAGCGCAAGCAAGAGAGAGAAAATCGATCTGTATCTAATTTACCTGTTGTTCCACTACCACTAGTTCCCTGCTCAGTTGTCGTTCCAGTTTCAAACAGTTTCGTTCTCGCATATACAAAACAATGGTTATTTTCTTGGTTTTTGTTTATATATTTTTGGTTTTGTTTTGTTTTTTTGAGATTGATAAATGTGTCAGTTACTTTGTTACAACTTACAATTAATAAAAAAAATAATAAAGTAGTGATGCGGCTTGTATCTCGTTCTCGTTCTCTCTCTGTTTGCTAGCGCCGTATGACCCAAGTGAGAGTGAGTAGTGCCGCTGCCACGCCCCATTCCAAGCTAAGCCTTCCAGCGGCATTGCAACCGTCCGTATCACAAGTGTAAATGCAGCTGCGATAATCCATCCGATCTCCCTTATTTCTCACATAGTCACAATAGTTTCCCATGTCCTTCGAACTGCAAAATCGCTTTGCTCCGATTCCGCCCTCGAAACGGCCCACGTGCTTCACACAGAACTGGGCGCCATGGACACTGGAACAATTTTGGGGCTGGATGTCGGGCTCGTCGTACCGCTCGAACCATTCGCCGCACTGAAAGGGATGCTCCGTATCGCTTGTGTCGCAGACATAGCACTCTATCCCCGATACCGTTGCCACCTTAAGGCTCATCAGGCACAGAACGCAGAATATCAGGCTTAAAAAGCCAGGCGTAGTGGGCGTGCCACATGGTTACGTCACGCCTGTAACAACTCGAGACTCTCTGTAGAAAATCCAAACAGTCAGCGTCGTCAGCAAATGCCAAGTTTATACTGGAAGTGAAACGCCGCTTGCGACTCCGTTCCCGTTCGTTTCGCTGGCTAAAAAGAGAACTCAAGAGAGAGGGAGCGATGAGCGGCGATTTGGCAATTTTCAAGCTAGATCCATCAAGATCCACACAGTTTCGGAGGTCATCAAAGGTCAGCCAATAATTTTTTTAAATTTTTTTGGACATATTGATAAAGTGGATCCAAGTAACCATACGATAATGCTGTGAAAAGTTATTAAATTTAATAAATAAATAGAGGACACAACAGGATCAGTTGAACGCCAAAAACTGTAACTTAAGGATCAGTCAAAATATTATCAAATTAAAACTATTTTTCGGTTTTGACTTTTTTTTGACCAACAATTTTTTTTGGTATCACTGACGCTAACTTGGCTCTCTCACCTTAGCCGCTGTTGCTTGTTTTTGGTAGAACCGGTTGCCAGGCAACAGGGCTAGGGCCCATAGGGCTAGAAATGTGTGTTTATACGCATGATATCCTTCGTTGGCGCTCTGGCAATCGCTAATCGGCAGTCGCTATCGCGGGCCTCATCGGTTATCGGCGTTGACCCCACCTGAAACTTGTTGTGCAGCCAGCAACAGGTAAGAGGCACTTAGTACGTGACGTGCAGAGCATTAAAACAAACAAACGGGCTCACACAGAGCCAGAGTTTTGAGATACAGATACAGAGATACAGACACAAAGGTAGCTCTTTGCTCTTTTTCCTCGGTTTTGTCTCCCGAGTTGATGGCTTTGCTGGCATTTTTGGTATGCTTTCTTAGGTGGTTTTACCACACCCTCACCTAGACGGGTATCTCGGTTTTTACAACAATATTTCACCTTGCAAGAAAATTATAAAATACAAAGACATAACCTTCAAAACCAATCTTTCCTAAAACTTTTCTTGGTGATATCAGGCTGTTTATATGTTTTTTATAGTATGTTATATGTTTTGAAATAAGATTTATAAGTTTGAGGAAATCCCAATCTCGTATCAAAATTTTGAGGGTGTTTCAGTTTTCGAATCCCCAAAGTGTCCGCACATTCTTGTTTCTTTTCCATGGAGTGAGCAACTCCCAACCAAAACGAGGGCATTCAACTTCTTTCTTCGTTTCTTCTACTGCTTCTTCGAGTCGAGATTCTTCGGGAAGAGAGAGCGGAGCGTTGTCAACCGATCAAGTATACCAGTACCACCACCCAATTGGCCAACACAGAAATACAAGCCAAGCCCACGTCTTGGTAATTGAAAGTCAAGCGGGTTTTCTCGTTTTGGATCGATGTGTACGTATGTTTCCCCGTAACTTCAGCATCGATGCGGTTAGGATTGGAATGTTGCCAGAAGGGAAACAATTTCACAATATAGCAAACCGACCACTCGTCATTGAGTCATTGCGATCCGCGCTTGGACCTCGTATTTCCACCTCATTGTAGTCCCTATTAGGGCTTTGAGAACATGATCTTCATTGGACATAAAAAACCAGTAAAACGCTATTTAAATGGGCTTTATAAGATAGAGAAACGGAAAGAGGAAAAAGCAATGTGTTGTATGAATCGACTGAAAGATTGTTTAAATGTAATGTCTATGGATTTAATTTTGGGTTTTCTAGTAGAACACTGCGAAAGACCTTTCATAGACAAGTAAATTTACTTTTATGATTGTCGAATTGATCGTTACATGATCATGTTGAAAGAAAAGTTGGCCGTACATTCCAATGTTTAAAAGGGCTAATAGGTCAATTTAATAAAATGAAGAAGTGTGTTTATCGATGTATAAGAAGGCTCTGATTTCTCAATAAAATAAACACTACTTTTTAATTACTGAGACAAAACTTGCTTTAAGGACCCATTAACTCAGCATCTGTCTTACACAAATCTGTTATTTTAATATGATCGTAACATTGAACTTCTTCGAATTTACAATTATGGCTGTTTTTAATATGGCTCTTCCTCTGGAAATTTTAACGATCTTTCGGGAGATCTTTGAAGGCCTTCGCCCTTCATGCTAGTTTTTCTCTGAAAGGAGGTATATTTTTAGCCCCTCTAGATGATTCTTCTCCAGCCTACGTGATGAATTCCCGTACCACGGACATTGACGGGCTCCGTGTACTTTAAACATGTGCCTGGTCGCACTCTATATATAGATCCCTTCGGATGGTTTACGGGATGCTAGCGTCCCGGGTCCACCAATATAGCCTTTGTTTCGAGAATTTTCCTTATAATTCCTTTTGATCGTCAGTCTTGCAACGCTTTGCGAATTGTTTTTAAACATGATCGATAATGTACACGTACGCAGGTACACAAAAAGAAAATGTAGGTATCAAAGATGAAATATTCCTTACCCATAAGGTATGTATTTCAGGATTTCAGAAAAATGTGTAGAATAAATGCTTTGGAAAATAAACTGCTTATCTTTGACATGTTTTCTATCGTTATCGTTGATCACATTTTTCTCTGTGTAGAAAAAGCCAGACATAAAAGGAAGTTGCAACCCCCCGTTTCACCAACCCCCTTGCTCTCTCTCTCTTTGGCTCTTTGTCTTCCCCTCCCCCTTTCTCCATTGAGAAGGAAGCAAACGAAATAGGAAGTTGCAAACTGGAGCAGCTGCTGCAAAAAATGAGATTTGCACAAATGAGTGAGTTTTTCGGAGAGGAGAGTTTCACTGCCGCGAGAGAGATGGCTCGAAGGAGGGTCCAAGCACACTGAGATAAATACGAACAGCGTTCGTGCTCCTGCTCACGTTCGTACCGTTCTTACCACCGATATCGATACCACCGATACCTGGTTTGAGTACCACCATGGAGTCGTCGGAGACGGGGATTTCGGAGTTACGGGGGCGTGTGGTTAATGGGCCGATTGTGGCAGACGTGACACTTGGCCAAGTGAAAGGCACTACCAATGATACCTCTATCCATCCATCCACATGTCTTCGGCATTTCGTGTGGCCGTAGTTTGTGTGTGAAGGGAATATCTGTTTGCTGGCCTTTTTAATTGCACATGTGCGAGTCGATTTAAATGTAAATAGCAGAACAAGGTAACAACATCACATGGCTCTGAAGTAATAAACAAAAAATAAGGTAACAGAATTTAATACCATCTTCAATTCCCTTCTGAGATCCTAAGGGGAGAATTGATTTGGCTTTTTCATCAACGCAACCAAGACTCAAAAGTAGCAGTGTAGTGTGATTTATCAGTTTTATGTTTATGTAACACCCGCCGAGAAATCCAAAAGATAAAAAACAACTTCAATCCTCAAACTCCATTTACTCGCTTCTCATGTCTGTGGCAATGACAACGCACTCAACATTTCTCTACACTTATGTGTTTTTTTTTTTTTTTGGGGCTTTGATTTCTTTTTGTATGCCCGAAAGTGCGCAGTTTATTGTGGCCCCATAAAAAGGCCATGTCAAGACGAGCGAGCCCGAAAAAACCTTAATTTAAAATTAAAAGCAACACGAACTCGCCGCATGATACAATGGAGATGGAGACACGACCGATTTTTTTAGGGCCGAAACGTAAGACAAAACCAGCAAAAGGGTCGGGGAATCCAGGCTGAAATGCGGTTGCAATGCCAAAGCACTTCCCACACACCCATATATATCGTGTGTAGACATAACTGTAATTTGAGATCTGGCCATATATTGAGGGGCATAATGGCCAATTGACTAACTGACTCAATGCCTGACTGACGGAACGGAGTGTGCGCACACGCCGAAAGATTGATGTAGCAGTCCATCGGATCCAATATCGCTCGCTTCTCGAGTGCTGAGACAGGAAAAACTGAGATTGTGTGCCAGGATAAAGTAAGCATCTGCGAGATACCAGAAGTCAGCGCATTTCCATAACATTTCAAAAGATGTCAACAAGTAAACATAATCAAAAGGTAGGAATGACTTTCCTTACCAACCATTGTCTTTTTCTGTATACCAAGATCTATTCCCAAAATCAGGTTTTTTGGAATAATGCATCTTTAATTTTAAGATGAGCTCACCTTCACAGACCCATAGTTTACGGAGCATATCTTCTTCGCACAAAATCCAATACAGATCATTTTACATTTTGCTTTCTAAAAAGGAAAGATACATTTCTTGCAGTGCACACACTATGAGTTTTTCCCTACCTTTTTGTAAGCCAAAACAAAAGAAACGCAAATCAAGAGGGCCAAAAGGAAGGAAAATAATTGAACAAACCAAAAAAGTGAACAGCCAAGTAGGAAAAGAAGTCAAGAAATCGAAAAATACAAAAAGAGCTCAGGGACCTCTAGAGGGGTAAACGAAAAAAGTATATCTCCTTGGCAATTGCTGCTCCAATTTTAGTTCATTGCTAGCGATCAGTTTAATTTAAGGCTTAATTCGTTTAAATAAACCAAAGTGAAGAGAGAGAGTGGAGAGTGGACCAGAGAGTGAGAGAGTTTTCGACAAAGAGAGAATTGAATGGAAGTCCTCTCTTCACTCATTCGGGCCAGCTGTTTCGTTTCGAGAGAGTGAGCGCCCGCTCCGAGAGAGAACGGCTTGGAAACGAAGAGCGGAATGGCGCGGAATGGGAAATGGAATGAGAACGGAATGGGCTTCGGTTTTGAGTTTGCGTGAATTTTTAAAACCAAGCGGCATTCGACGACGACGGCGACAGCGTGCTACAAAAGCCATTGCGAGCGTCTACGCGGCGCTCGAAAAACACCAGGAAAATCACAAAATTCGAAACCCAAACAGGCATCCAGCGAAAATCGGGAAAAGCCAACCCGTACGATTCAGGAACTACCAGCAGACAGTTTTCGAAAAAAAACTATATCGTTTTGAGCAGTCCCGCTTTGTGTTTGTATTTTTTGCAGTGAGTGTGTGTGCGCGGTTTTTCTTAAAAAGCCCAGTTTTCGAAACATAACAATACAAATTTGAGGCACTGTCCAAGAACCTGTTCCGTGCAAATTCTACGACCACCTGGCAGCTGATTCGAGAAATAAAAAACAAAAAATATCAAAAACAAGAAGAAGCATCCCCAAAACAAACACTCGCACGCCATGCTGTGACAAAAAAATACAATCACAAAAGGAAAACAAAACCAAACGCGACAAGAGGAGCCTGGAAGACAACGGAATTTCGCGTAAGTTAATAAAAAAAACTATTAATCAGTACAGAAAAAAAAAACAAGAATGCATTCCTCATCTTGCCAACGAAAGCTGTCTAAGTAAGAGAAGAAGCTTTCGAGCCGAGCTTTTGAATAACACCGATGATTTCTCAAGAACGAGACAGAGATAGAGAAAGACACGTTCGGATTAGTTGTATAACTATGTATAACCCCTCGGATTAATCAAGATGGGAGCCTTGGGGCGTTATTTTGATTAGAGCCCATCAAGCCAATTGGGTTTGGTCGATAGTCAGGTGATAACAAGTGTTCTTGGAGGCCTAGAGATTCTGGAGCATGTTCCTCAGTTTTACAGTTACGTATAGGGAACACCATTAAATGTGCGACTTGTTCCTGTACCTCAAGAAGATCCTACGATTGTAGGCTCACTAATAATATTGCGTTTGCACTATCATCAGCATTATATCAGCTTAAAACTTAAAACTTAACAGAAGCTTTGTCGTTTGAGAAAAACCTTTATATTGTACGAATCTGCTGGAGCACCTGAAGATTCGTGTGCCAAGATATGATGTTGGCAAACAATCATCGACATTGTTTATAATAATCGTTGTCTTTCGAATAATTAACGTGACTTTTCTTCCCGTGTATAACTTTTCTTCTGTGAAGTTCTTTCTTTAAAATGTTGTTTTATCGGTGAACTTGACTTTCCTAGATTTTCCTTAAATTCCATGAATCTTCTTTTTCTGTGCATACTTTTCATTTCCTCTTTAATGGTCGTCTTATTAACTTTCCCCTTCTCATCTTCCCCTCGCCTGTATCCCCTTTTTTCTCTCGTTTCCCCACTATTTTCCAAGAGTCTTCCCGCTCCATCATTTTTATATACACAGAAACAAAATTTAGACTAGTTTTAGAGTGTTTTGAATATATAGCTTAAGGCAAATTAATTTTGTACTAGCTAGTACTACTCCAAAATGAATAAGACTGTTAGTGGGTTGGTTAATATTATTATCTGGAAAATGTTAATTAATCATTGGATCGTGTTCGGTTCGGTTTCTAGATTTTTGTTTGTGTATCGGCTTACCTTAGAAGTATCCCGTCTGACGGGTTCGGCGACATCTATGGTATCTCCGCTCTTGGCATCCCAAAGATGAGCCCCCACCACTTTGCCCCCCGAAAATACTGCCCCCTGCGAACGGAAATGGTCAATTTGAGTGACACAGAACAGTGGCGACTCATTGTTTTTGAGCATGTGTCTCCGATCAGGGAACCGAATGGGGGAGAAGCACGTTGTGGGTTCTGTTCTTTGCTTTCTCCCACCCCCTCCCTCTCCCTCTCCCCCTCCCCCTTCGATTTGCCCTTCTTGGTTTCCCTATTACGTGCACGCCATGCTGCGGTTTCTCCGTTCTAACGATCCCATACCACTCGAACCGAACCGACTCGATCCTCCCCGAGCTGCAGGCCAAGTCACTAGCCGCAGAGTGGATGACCAAAGCCCAAAAGGTTTTGTTCTGGGCCAGCTGCCGCGAAAATAGATCGCCAGAGATGTCAGCGTGAGGCGATATTTATCGGTATGTGATTAAATAAGTTTAAATCTTAAATAACTCAAGAAGTCAAAACGACTACGAGTTAATTTGAGTTTAGTTTTCGTAACTTCTTTATACTAGGGAGTTTCTATTAGATTTGATTGATATGTTGTCTGTCTTTTAGTGAATATTTATTACCTGTTTGCAATGATTTAGGTGCTGCATTTACGATGCTGCACTCCGTCGTTTTAGGTGAGGTTTTCACCAATAGATTCCAGATATTTAGGGTTTCCTGTGCGTGAGTCGAGTCTTTCAGTCGATGCCACCCCTGGTGCTCGGCACACACGCACACCCCGAAGGGCGACTTCCGCTATGGCGACCAGCTGCCAACCAAACCGAACGGAGTGCCCAATAGCACACAGACCAAACCCTAATGGAAGTGAATCAACTCGGCAAGACTCGAACACACTCGCCGTACAGTCGAATGCAATTGGGCTGACGTCACAACTCCAAGAGACAGACTCCCGCAGTACGAGAAATCAAACACAAAAAAGCAAAAACAAACTGAAACTCAGATTCGCAATGCAGTTGCAGTTGCAGTTGCTATTGCACTGTGCAATTGACATTGCAGTTCTCGTGCGCTGTGCTGTTTGCATTCATGTTAAGGTTAAGCATGTTAAGGCTTTCAAAAGACCCGACAACAAAGTGGATGACAGCGAAATTAGCTGCGACAACGACTAGGCAAACAATCACCAAATGTTGTGAAAGCGAAGGCAGAATCTTTCGGAAGGGAACAACTTGACCACTCAAATGGCAGAATCTTTTGGCAGGGAACAACTTGACCACTCAAATGGCAAGCTTTCAACAGATTGCTCTTTCATATTTGCAATCCAGGTTGGGAAAGCGGTGGCTACCCCCCAGTTTTCAGGGTATGCGAAATAGGCGATTGTGAAGCGGCGGCACGTAACTAACATTAATGCAGCTCCGACGACCTTTTCGCAAAACAATTGGCACAGCCGACACCTATGTAACATTTGTGGGCCCCCCCTTTCCGCTTTCGCCCCCTTCCGAAACCGAAACAAATTGCAATTCGCACAGCGAAATTTCCACTAAATCCGCAACTATCACTATCAACTGCTGGCAGGCAACACTTGGCAGTCCACGGTCCCCACGGCCTTGGCAATGAAAATGCCTAGGAAACCGAAAGAAACCCAACCACAAGTGACAGCTGCATGTGTGTGAAATTGGTTGGTGGGGAGAGGGGAGGCGGGAGGCTGTGGGCGGTGGGTGGTAGGTGGTGGGCCATTGTGTATACGACTGCAACTTCAAAAGCAAAGGCAAAGTCAGCGAAGCGTTGAGGGGAACTGAAGGGAACGGCGGGGCTTCGGCCAGGAAGGAGGCCATTTATGTGTGGCTAATGGAGGGGTTTTGAGCCACAGACACCGTCTGTTAGCAGAATGTCAATCAAACAACCCAGAGAAATCTGATTTCCAATGCAGATTATTGGAGAGCACACACAGGTTACAAACAGTGTCAGGGTTCAAACCTATGATGCAGTTTCCATGGAAATTAAATCGGATTTAAATAAAAAGAAGTTGTTGGCTTAGAAAATAAACTAGTGATGCAGTTTGCCAGGGAATTAACCCACTAACTTTTAGTCGAACACTTCTTAGTCGGACATAAATTAAAAAAGTTGAGGACCCTGGAGTGCAGGGCGTATACGTATTCTCTGGAAACCGCGAGGCAAAGAAGCCGCACCGATTTAACATAATTGAGACGGGGTCCCCGGTGGCGCTTGGGTCAAATGTGTTGCACAGAGATCGCGGGGGGAGGCACTGGAACCACTGGAGGTGCATTGCCCCCAGATCGAGATTCGTCGGGCAGAAAAGAGAGTCCGCCTCGGATGGCAGCCACACAGGCCACACAGGCAAGTGGAGCAAATGGCAATTGGTTACTTAAATGGCGCATCAATTTTCCCAGCTGACAAGAGAGCCGAACTGAACTGAACTGAACTGAGCTGAGCTGCTCGCAGTCGTGGCTGCGAAATGTGCCTTTAATTGAAATTGAAACCGTCTCAAGATTCTATTAGTTGATGTTGATTTATGCCAAAATACTCGCGCTCTGCGCATTTAGCAATTGCAAGATCACAGCTCACCACGAAATTTTACACTTTCGGCGAACTTCAATAGTTTAGTTGGGTGGGTGTCGGTTGTTCTCCAATCAGCGAGGTGTACTTCACAGATACACCGAGATAAGAGTCTTGTATTTGCCCCCCGTTCCGACACAGAAACCAAATTAAGTGTAATGGGTACCGATTCGAGTTTATTTGGTTACGTCAAACCGTACTGGAATTATACATAGTATTACTTACATTCTGCATTTTGATTGAAAATCCTATTAAACAGCATAACTTCTGTTATTTCCAGTTGATATGCATCGAAGGTTGAAGGGCAAGAGATTCCGAAACAAGACAAGAACTGGCAAGAGAAAGCTAGGATCGCACCCAGCCTAACAGCCACCTAACCCTTTGTCGGCGAGATTAACGACACTGCCCGGAGGAGAGATCCTAATCCTGATCCTGATTCGCCCAACGAGACCACCCGACCTGTGCCAAGATGTACAAGTTGCTGGGTAGCCTGAAGAGCTACCTCAAGTGGCAGGACATCCAGACGGACAACGCCGTCTTCCGGCTGCACAACTCCTTCACCACGGTGCTCCTGCTCACCTGCAGCCTGATCATCACCGCCACCCAGTACGTGGGCCAGCCGATCAGCTGCATCGTCAACGGAGTGCCGCCGCACGTGGTCAACACCTTCTGCTGGATCCACAGCACCTTCACCATGCCGGACGCCTTCCGCAGACAGGTGAGTGCTTCCTTGAAGATTCTGCGGCTCAGTCTTATCAATCCAAGTGGCATGAAAGTGCTTGTGCTTCTTTCACCGAATACAAAGGAACTTTGAAGACCCTCTGATGATCTCTGATCTTTCTCCCATGAGATAGCTGGGCATCTCCATGCGGCTTGAGCCTCAGTGATCCACAATTCGAACTGAATACCTGTCATCTGCCGCAGAAGAGCCCTTTCAATAGCATCCGCTTCTTTTCTCACTCTTTTCTTTTTCTGCCCGCCTGCCCATCAAGTCTTCTGTATGCGGGACACGTCCGACCCTTTCGACGCAGGAAGGTAGATCGGGTATGGTGTGTGTGTTGTGCACACACATATTTCATCTCTCAGGCCAGCCTATGCCTATAAAGCAATTATAAACTGGGCGTTGTCTGCTTCTTCCACTTTTCTGCTGCGGGCAGCGTTTTGTACAATCGGTTGCAGGGGAAAAAACGAAATCAAGAACACCAAAAATTGATTCCCCACGGGTGGAACTCCACTGTGGCCCTACACTCAGAAAAATTAACAGCTCCACATTCGATTCATTAACTTTTATTTCTTCTGGCAACTATTTGGATTTCCCATTGAAAGCTTCTCTCTTTCAAAGTGGAATTACGAGATGTTTTTAATGGGATATACATTTATCCTATATCTTTGGTATTTTCCTAACTTTATCCAAGTGAACTCCCTTATCTCTCTGTGCACAGCTCTTCTGGGGATTGGCTCATATTTCATGCCAGGCAGGAAACAGTCCGATAACTCCCTACGCTGCCACTTCGTGGAAATCTTTTTTGTTTTTTGGCAGCTCGGCCGATCGAATTACCCGCCAAGTCGCACTAACTAAGTAAACTCAACTGGCTGGCAGTGTGTGGGCGGATTTAGTCAGGGAAACCATGTGGATACCTTTCTGGAAACTTGGGTTGCCATTACATGGTTATCTGTGATTTTTTAGGGACACATTGGGTGACTTACTTATGCATGGTGCTTTCCCATAAAGAGTATTCTAATTCGTTTTGATCTTGTACTTTCAGGTTGGTCGTGAGGTGGCTCATCCTGGTGTGGCCAATGACTTTGGCGACGAGGACGCCAAGAAGTACTACACCTACTACCAGTGGGTGTGCTTCGTGCTCTTTTTCCAGGTGAGTTTCTGTTCTGTTCGCCTCTGAGTGCTCAAAAATGTACACCTTGCTGGGTAAACAATCGCCAAGATTGAGATGTCGTGATTTGGTGGCGAGATTAGACGTCTTTTTTCTCTGTGCAGCGATGTGTTCACGTTGCTTGTGGTCTCGATTCTTTGGCGCGGAGGCAATCGCTCCAATTAAGTTCAATTGAGTGCGTGGCATGCGTGGATACACAGGGAGATATGGGGTGTGGGGAGTGCCACGTACACTGATCGAAACTTGTGCACCTTTGTAAAGTAGAGTCCACCTCTCTTCATAACCTCTTCTCAATTTGTGATTGTGTTTAAGAGGGAATGTCGCCCAAGACGATCGCTAAATGTAGTTTTCGTTTGGGTGGCGACCCATTTACTTTTTGATTGATTCGATTAGGTTTTTTTGCCTGTGCACTGGGGTTGGGGTTCTGTGATCGGCGGGAATTAGCTGTGGGTCAACGTATTGCTCAAGTGACGGAAGCAAATGAGAGGAGCGCAACAAAGCGCCTCGGACTTGTGAAATACCAAATATAATTAATGACTTGCTAAACAGCACGAACAACATCAGCAGTGGCAATTACAACAGCAGCAACAGCGACAACAATGTGTCAATTGCTTCGACATTTTTCAATAAAAAGTGTTTGTTGAAACACTTTCCTGCACTTTTGCCACACGAGACACTCCAGATGCCAGTGGAAAGTGAAGCAAGGGGCTCATTTAAATCGAATTGAAGGAAGTGCTTTTGCTCTAGGAGTGTTTGCAGAAGTGTTTGCAGCGTAATTAAATTTATTCAATTGGTTTTTAGGCCATGGCCTGCTACACTCCCAAGTTCCTGTGGAACAAATTCGAGGGCGGCCTGATGCGGATGATTGTGATGGGGCTGAACATCACGATCTGCACTCGCGAGGAGAAGGAGGCGAAGCGCGACGCCCTGCTGGACTACCTGATTAAGCACGTGAAGGTGGGTTATCTACCTTCCCAGATCCCAGACTGATTCAACTGATCCATACTCTCCTCCCTCGATTAGCGCCACAAGCTGTACGCCATCCGGTACTGGGCCTGCGAGGTGCTGTGCTGCATCAACATCATCGTGCAGATGTACCTGATGAACCGCTTCTTCGACGGCGAGTTCCTCTCGTACGGCACCAACATCATGAAGCTGTCGGACGTGCCGCAGGAGCAGCGGGTGGACCCCATGGTCTACGTGTTCCCCCGGGTGACCAAGTGCACCTTCCACAAGTACGGTGCCTCCGGGTCGCTGCAGAAGCACGACTCCCTCTGCATCCTGCCGCTGAACATCGTGAACGAGAAGACGTACGTGTTCATCTGGTTCTGGTTCTGGATCCTGCTCGTCCTGCTCATCGGACTGATGGTGTTCCGGTAAGGCGTGCTCTGCAGATAACACTATATCCTATATCTGGGTTGTTTTTCCGAACGGGAGTTAATCAATCTAATCGACTATTTTGTTCAGTGCCTGCATCATCTTCATGCCGAAGTTCCGGCCCCGTCTGCTGAACGCCCGCAACCGAATGATTCCGATGGAGATCTGTCGCTCGCTGTCCCGGAAGCTGGACATCGGGGACTGGTGGCTCATCTATATGCTGGGTCGCAATCTCGACCCGGTCATCTACAAGGACGTGATGAGCGAGTTTGCCAAGCAGGTGGAGCCCTCCAAGCACGACCGTGCCAAGTAGACGAGACACGAGACACTCGCCGCCCCGATCTGCCCTACGAAATATCAAATACCCTGCCTAACTCCCAATCATCATTTGTCCGGTGCCCCAAATTCCAAATTCTGCTTTGGACTATTATTTTTATTTAGCACAAATCATACTACTTAGTTGAAACACAAGACCGACGCCCCTTTGGTAGTTCTGTGATTAAGCCCCCCAACCCCAACCTTTGAACCCTCTCCCCTTTGACCTCTTCCCTATTACCACTCCCCTTCCCAGCCAGCCCATTACTATTTTAAGCATGGATTAATCAATGATCACAACTCGAATCGCGCTTGGCAGAAAAGACAATCTTTTATTTTAATTTTATTTTTTGATTTTTGATTTTCCATCAATTATAACAAGACAAACAACAACAAAAATAATGAGATTTTCCTTGTGTTTTTTTTCTGCAAACAATACATTTTTTTTCCTAATTTTAAAATGTAATTTAATGCCTAGTTCTTATTTATAAATAGACAACATCACTAAAAAATCCCCTGAAAAAAACAACCAGAAGAGATACTATTTCTGCTTAAAATCGTAAACTGTTTTTTAAACGCTTCGGAAACAACCGATAATAACAAATAAATATTGCTTTTGAGTCTTTCATAATAATAGTTTGTAAAATTCCAATCGGAAGCGTTTGAAACACATAAATTTTTTTTGGGGAATAAATTGAAGAGAATAAAATGCGCTATGTTAAGTTTATTGTGTAGTTTTAGGCGAAAATTGCAAAGGTTTTATAAATATATTTTCATATATATATTTTAAACTAAAATATGATATGAAATAAAAAACTTTTTACAACTGGCGAAATATTTGAGTGTTTGTTTTTGATCTGTGAAAATGATTTGTGAAGGCTTTCGAACAGAACTCTCTTTATAACAGTTTACCGGTTAAGTGAATGTTGGCTTCCGCCCGTACTAGATGTAAAGGTTTGTGACACCAATAAATGCATAGTCAAGTTTCAGCCCGAGCGCGGCTTTGTGGTATTTTTTTAGTACATTTTGCATCAGTGCGTCCGCGGCCCCGCCAGGGCTGGTGTATCTGCAAGAAATATCGATAGAATTGAGCAATCATCGATTTTTGCACCAGCTCCACCAAAAACGTAAATAATAGAAGGAAAAGTGCTTCAGAGTGTTTTATTTGCGGTATCACCCAAGGGAAATCAGGAACCGAGCTGCAGAGTGTGAGACCAGCATTAGTCATCGCTGAACTAACCCACCTGAAAATCCTCGGAGTTCTCCAAAGAAGTCCTTGCAGAAATGGGCAACAAACAGATCAAACAGCACTTGGAGACGGCACAGAAGACGGGAATCCTCAAGATATCCCTGCAGCGCCTCCAGGAGTTCCCGCCACAACTGAAGGCCTACCCGAATGTGCTGAAAACTCTGGATCTTTCCGAGAATCGCTTTGAACGGGTGCCCGATGAGCTGGGCAAGTTGACCCTGCTGAAGCACCTCAATCTCAGTGGGAACCGACTGGTGGAACTCAACGAAGTGGTGGGCGAACTGGCCAAGCTGGAGGTGCTCTTGTTGATGGACAATCTGCTGACCAAACTGCCCAAGACGTTGGCGAACTGCACTCACCTAAAGACCGTGAACCTGAGCAACAACCAGTTGAAGGAGTTTCCCTCCATGTTGGGCGGCCTGAAGCAGCTGGATGTCCTGGATCTCTCGAGGAACAGGATCACCGAGGTGCCCTCCGAAGTGGGTGGTCTCTATGTGACCGAACTGAACCTGAACCAGAACCAAATATCCTCGCTGGCGGAGGACGTGGCCGACTGTCCCAAGCTGAAGACCCTGAGACTTGAGGAGAACTGCCTTCAGGCGGCTGCTTTCACCCCCAGAATCCTGAAGGACTCGAAGATCTGTAACCTGGCCGTCGACGGCAACCTGTTTAACTCGAAACAGTTCACCGACCTCGATGGCTACGACGTCTACATGGAACGCTATACGGCGGTCAAAAAGAAGATGTTCTAGATGCCCACTGGGCCCAATTCCAGATCCCCCAATTTATTGTGTGTGTCCCAGCCTTTATTTATCAGCGTAAACTAATGTAGTAGCTTAATTCTTTGTGACTTCAGTGTAAATCGTTATGAATAAAACGAGAAAGTCAACTACAGTGAGGGAAAGCTAATAATTTCGAGAGGTGAGTGGAGATTAGTAACCCAGATTAAGTTTATTAACTAAAATTCTTTTTTAACCTCCATTTTAAAAAGTTCACATATCCTTAAACAAAGATCAATACCCCATATGCAACCAAATAGTGAAAATTGTAAAAACAAGTAGCTTTTATTTAAAAAGTGTATAACATATACATATATAAGATAAGAAAAAAAAATTATATGAAAAATAATCCCACCATGGAGATTCGGGTCCTCATCAAAGCTTTCCCCGCATCATGGGCAACAGGTGATTGTGGAAGGACGAGTTGACGGGCTCCTGGTTGACTGGATTCCTCCGAGCCTCCTCCATGAGGCGTTCGTAGACGCGGCCGTCGTGGCAGCCCAGCGTGGAGCCCAAAACGCGGTCGTGGAAGTCGAAGCCATCCACAATGGCCACCGCATTGGGACGCAGCTTGACCAGCAACTCCTCGTAGCGACGCTCGATGAACCGCAGTTGGGTGCCATTGATGCCAGTATTCCAGCGGAGCACGGTGCCCGACTGTCGCTGGAATGTGTCGAGGACGAAGAGCTCCACCAGTTGGCCCAGGACGGCGGACACACTCGGGCCAAGATCGCCCTTCTTGCGAAGGGCCTCCACTTGCTGCAGCGCGTTCCGGGTGAAGAAGGCATGGGCATGGGCTGTGGCAGCCCCCGTGAGCTGTCTGCCCGCCAAGTTGCTGGCCCGCTCGGCACTCACCCGGCTGTTCTGATGGGTCTTCTGGGTCTGCCACGCGTGGCGCACCTGCTCCAGGGCGGAAATCTCCAGGGCGCGCACACAATTCACAGCGATGCTCTTGCCCCAAACCAGACGCGAAGTGTCCCTCAAGTAGGAGACGCTCGACGGCAGCACCTTCCTCTTCAGGCTGTCCACGTACTGGCGGACCAGGAACCGAGCCGTCTGCAGCAGGAGCACCGTGTACTCTCCCTCGTACGTGTAGGCCGCCGCGGTCAGGCCATAGATGCTGTCGAAGTTGGCCGAGGAGAGGAAGCCGTGGCCGCCGCAACTCTTACGCAGCAGGTCCACGCCCTCGGTGGCCTCGTCGGTGGACACCGCCTTGAGGCAGCAGCTGAGAGCGTGCAGTTCGGGCAAGGAGTTGCGGCCTCCGCTGCTCCCGTCCTCCAGTTGCCGCAGGACCTGCTCGTAGAAGCTCCACAGCCAGTCGGACACCAGGCGGTAAGACACTCCTCGCGCCAGCTGCGGCAGGATCTTGGCCTGCTGCGTGATGTGATCCAAAACCGACACCTCGGGCTGATCCGCATCAATTCGGCTTTGGCGACGCACCACGGAATACCTGGCAGTAATTAAAGGTATGTGTTTTAAATAAACGTAGACAATGATACAATGATTTAAGAATAGAGCTCGTTTTAAAATTGCATAAATAATTTTAAGATTATCTAATGACTTTTAACCACCTACTTAAATTCTTATCTTAATATACCTAGGTAACTACATATCTGGAATCTTTGGACTCTTTTCAGCTGTCTGCAAAACGCCCAGTGCAGTTTTATGAGTTTAAAAACAAATGACGCGTTAATATCACCTGGTAGCAATAGTGGCTGCCTGTAGGAGACCGAAGAGCACGTCCTTCAGGGTGATGACCCGCACGTAGACCATAGTGCCGTAGAGCAGCAGCGGAGGTCTTCCCTGGACGAAGGTTCCATCGGCGAGCACCTGGGCGTTCTTCATCAGCATTTGGGTTCGGGGAATGCGCACGTCGCGAAGCCCCAGGAAGCCGTTGTTCACTCCGTTGCCCCCCAGACGAGGTCCTATGTCGCCTACGTCGATGCCGGCCAGCGGCTCGTGGGTCCTCTCATCGCGGATCCTCACCAGGAAGGACTGCAGCCCATAGTGCTTGCCCCTCACGTAGAGCTGGGCCAGGACAATCGCCACGTTGGCCGTGTTTCCCAGACCGCCGGGCCACCACTTGTAGGCGCTCTGCGTGGGCGTGTTGAGGACGAACTCCTGCGTCTCCGGATCGTAGTCCGCGCGGGTCTCCAAGCCACGGACGAAGGTGCCGTGGCCCAGCTCCGTTTGGGCGTAGGTCCCCAGGACGCCGTCCATGTGCCAAGAGCGATTCAGCCACTGGGCCTGCTGCTCCTCGGTTCCCTGGCTCAGAAGCGTGGTCATGAACATGGAGAAGTGCACGCGCAGGGGGAAGCTTTGCTGGAAGAGGCCCGTGCCCAGGGATCCGGAGAGCAGGAGCCGGAAGTCCCGCAGCATATTTACACTAAGCTGCAACTGAGGTTGCTTCTCCCGCTGCCACTGCCGCAGCTTGGCCAGGAAGCGGGTGGCTCTGGCCACCGTCTGCTCGTAGCGCTCCTTGTAGGACAGGCAGCTCGGGTGCACTGCCTCCGCGAAGTCGGGGTCCTCGTAGAAGCGGCGGTCCAGGGCGCGACGCTCCTCCAACTGGGCCGCACCACCCGCCCACCAGCGGGCAAAGTCCTCGCTGTCCAGAGTGGCCGCCGCCCGCTCCCTCTGCAGATCCGCATTCACAGACATGGTCGCCGTATCGCTGATTCTGCGCTTTTGTTTCCTCCGAGATCTCCCAACCTCTCCGATCGAACTGCTCGATTGCACTGGGAGGTGGTGGCTGCAAAAACACTATCGCACAAAGCATGAGAGCGAGGCCAGGCCACCCAGGCCGTAGTCGAGCGGGGTTCTCTCCCCACTAACTTGTGCTGCACAAAGTCCAGATATGGAACATATCTAGGAAAACATCTTGGTGAAACCGAAAAAGAACGATACCATGAGAGGCTTTATACATTTTATTGGAAAAGTTTATGATCGTAAGCCCCTCCGGATCATCCTGGGGACGCCACTGCCTCTGTATTGCGCTCTGACTGCTCCAACCGGTGTCTCTGCTGCAGCGAAGTCACTGAACTCGCTCTGCAAGTGTCTATGCGCTTTTGAGTGGACCCTATTCGAAAGAGAGAATGCAAGTAAAACAACGGAAAAACGAAAACTGCACAAGCAAATATTTCTGTATCTAGTGGTCCACCTCAAAGTGGAAAGGAACAAAGTGCGTAGATTCCTGGCAGGTCTTATCTTCTTGTTTTTACCGGGTCATTAGATTCTATAAAATAATCTTGTAGATTTCTCAGCTTCATTTCGCATTATCATCCAGCTTGGAAAGACTTTGTGTTTATTTTATTTGCAGTGCGTGTTATCATTCTATACTAAGAAGTGTCTTGTTATCATTAAGGTTTCTTTCAAAACAATCTGCGATCATGGGGGGCCTCATTTATTGTTGGACTAGCAAAATTTGAGATAACCTTCTAGGCCACTGCAAAATAGATTTGCTAGGCATTGCTAGTGATGAGAATTTCGCACACCAAGAACCTGGCATACAATTCAAAAGTGGCGCCTTCTGTATACCGTCTTGCAAAATCGATAATTAGGGTGACCAGTAGGATGGCCTGCGCGCACTTGGTATGTTTGTGGCGCTCTCCGCAGGGCCACACTGCCCAACAGCTGATCGCCGCGTGCGGTTTTCCGATTGGATTTTCCTTATTTGGCTTTCTCCCACTTCCGCAATGGGCAAAAACACGAAGCGCAACAAGAAGGCCAAACAGCAGCAACAGCAGTCCGGAGCTACTGCGCCCCCATCAGGATCGCAGAAGGACCCCTGTGCATTATTGACCGTTTTAAGCCCCAGCCAACGCCAGGCCCTAAATAAATTAGTGGGCGAACTCATCGACTTGGTGAAGCAGCAGCCCGCGAATCCCAACGAGGAATGGAGACAGTACGAGGCGCTGCAGAGGCTTCTCGTCGAGATCATGGCGCTCGAGGAGCCACTCAGCCAGGCCCTGTGTCCGGACGGCAGCGATTCTCCCGACGATCGCAGTCGGTTGGCCAAAGTCGAGGCCTTTAGCCTGTGGGCCAATCGCGGTGGAGTTCGCAGCGAAGGTCTGGAAATAGCCACCTTTGCGGGCTACCAACTGGGATTGCGGGCCACCCGGCCGCTGGAGAAGGACGAGCCGGTGATCACGGTGCCCCGGGATCTCATTTTAGCCGAGGACGTCGTTGAATGGCACAAGTCCGTCAACCTGCCAAAGCTCACCTACCTGTATCTGGCCTACGATCTGCTCATCGAGAAGATTCGCGGCGAGTCTAGCGAGTGGCAGCCGTACCTGGATGTCCTGCCCGCCAAATACAACACCGTGATGTACTTCAGCAGCCAGCAGATGGAGCGACTGAGGGGCACTGCTGCCTGCTCGATGGCTCTGCGTCAGTGCCTCGTGATCGCCAAGCAGTACGCCAAACTGTACTGGGGCGTCCACGTCCTGTCCGACGGAATCAGGAAGGAGGGCTTCGCCTTCGCGCAACGAGGACTCTGCTACAAGCTCTTCAGGTGAGTTTGGGGGAAGATACCATACACATAAGTAGGGTACTTTTCTGAGAGAGTTTCAATTATGCGATTATAAAGAATTTTTCCAGTTGCTCTAGAAATAGATTTTCCGAATGTTATCCAAACAATAGCCAAGGTGGAGTACTATTCCTAAATCATGATACTCAAAGAGTGTTGTCCTATTTTAATTATGTCATGGGCTTATATATCCGTTTCTGTTGGAAAAGCTCTCAATGAACCATTCGTCCCGCTGGCCATAAATTACATTTACAGCTGGCGCTGTTTGTTTTTAATCGAGAGTACATATGGCCAGATTGCCCGACCATTGTTGACCTTCCCGTCTGGCACTGTGATCGCATTGTTTGGCCGAACATCTATTTGCGGACCCGCTTCCACTTTGGACTGGTCATGGTGCATTAGGCAGACTTCGGGATCTGTTTCTTCACTCGCCGCTAAATATAGAGTTCTCCGATCTCGAAAGCCAACTTTGGGAGCAGTCCGAAACCATTTAAGTACTTTCGAAGTGTTTGCCAAAATTTGTTCTACATTTTATTTCTCAAAAAAATTAAATTGAAACTTATTTACATACATATTTGAGCGTGCTTAAATATATTGTTATATTTATAATATATATATATATATAAACTGTCGCCAGATGTTCTACTGCCTAGTGAGGGAGGGGGGGCGGTGATGGAAGGGGGAACAAATCAAATCACATCAAAAATAGTGCGCCTGCTCTACAAAACAAACACAAGTATTTCTTCTATTTTTCTCGTTGGATTTTGCAGTGCATTCGAGTATTCAAACTATTAGTGTTGTCGTTGTGTTTGCTGGTATTGTTGTGCTAATGACCACGCCCACTTAGCGCCCATCTATGCTTTGCCTTGCTCTAATTTCAATTTAATTTTGTTAGCCAGTGCCAGAAAATATTTTTTAGTGGTTAAATCTTCTCGAACCGAACACAGATTTGATCGTTTTTCGTATTTCCCTCGTTAATATTTATTGTCCTCATAAATGGTTTACTTTTCTCTCTCGAATTTCAGTGTTTATTCGATTTGGGCTGTTCGGGAAGGTGTCTGAACACAACTGTACTTTTTGGCTAATATCCTTCTTACCTCATTGTTTTTATCTCATCGTGCCTAAGAAACCCGTTTGAATGCTGTGTCCTATGATTTAGTAGAAAGATTCGCGTTAGTTGATGGTTTATACTCGTACGTTAGATCTAGATAGTTGGAAACGATAGTTTGCCGAGCTTAGAGACTAGAAACAGTGCGCGGCATAAACATACTGAGGTTCAGAGCTTTTCTTCTTTTTTTTAACTTTTATTAATCAATTAGTTTTGAAATCAGGAGAACAACTGAATACAATAAAGTATTATACAAAAAATCCCTATGATTTGATGAAAACGCCAATTAATTTAACTAAAAATAAAAAAGGAAAGCTTGTGTTTTCTTCTTTTCACCCAACCACCTTATGGTCATGTCACGCGCTGTTCAAAAGTGTTTTCTAGGTTTTATTAGGGTTTTGTTAGTTTTACTTTCTCTCACAGAATGTTCCTCTAATCGAGCTCAAAAAAATTCCACCTCCTACCTGCTTAAACTAATTAATCGACTAATGTTTGCTCCTCCGCGCTGAGTTGGGTGTCTATCTGTGTGTGTGTGTGGTGTGTTGGGGGCTGTGTGTGTGTGTACACTTGTGTATGTAAAACTTGGCCTAAACAACGGTCTATGGATGCTAGAGGAGCCTATTGCCCGTCGCCTAATTGTCGAAGGACTTGCGCAGCGTGTCGAACAGGTATTCCTGCACCTCCGGCGAATTCGGATCCATGGTGTTCAGTTTCTGGTGGGCACTCCTCAGCGAAATGGCCAGGCCACGCCCACTCAGCGCCTCCGGCGGAGCCGTTGAGTTCGCCCCCGCTGCGGTGGTCGTGTTCGAGTTGCCGGATTTGCCGGAGTTGCCATTCGTGGTCATCGAGGTGGCGGTGCTCAAGGTGGCGGATCCGTCGCGGGCGAACAGCAGGGAGCTCTGCCGCTGCAGCTGGTGGACGGGCGTGCAGCAGGCCACCGAAGTGGAGATGCTGGCTATCCCCGTCCCTGATCCCGAGCCTGCTCCTGATCCCGATCCCGATCCAGAGCCCGTTCCTGATCCTGATCCGGAGCCAATGACGAGCTCCTCCATGTGCTGGCGCATCGAGGAGCGACGCGACGGCTGGACCATCTGGGGCAGCTTGCTCTTCATCGCGTTGTAGGTGCGCAGGTAGCTGCTTTTGCGCCTCCGCTGCTGCTTCCACCGACAGACGACGAAGATGACCAGGAAGGTGGCCAGGGCCGTGACCACGATCGCCGTGCTGGCCACAATCGCCGACTTGATCCCCGAGGGCATGCTGGCGTACAGGCTGCTCAAGTGCTGCTGCGACACGGCGGACGTGGCCGCCGCCGCCGCCGGACTGCGGTGGAATCCCGGCCCGGAGAGCTCCAGGTCAAGCAGGTCGTGGGCCCGCGCCACCTCGTTCTCGATCTCGTCGATCACGTCGTTGTCCGGCGGCAGCCGGCTGTTGTCCATCATCATCGCGGAGGCGTTGCCGCCGTAGGGACTCACGCCCAGGTCGATGTCGATGCTGGTGGGCTCGCCGCCCCCGCCCTCCGGCTCCGGATTCGAGTCCGCCTCCTGGGAGCCGCCGGCGTCGAGCAGGAGTCGCGGCGGCGGCAGGAAGTACGGGTTCCGCTCCTCGGTGGCCGTCGCCAGGGAGGCGAGCGCGAGGGTCTTCCACGAGGGGAAGAACCCCAGCGACTTCTCGCCCCGCGAGTTAATGGATATGGTGCCGGGTCCGCCGCCAATGGTCGCCGATGATGCGGATGCTTGCGCGTAGGCAGGACCTGAAAGGAAAGCATTTGAACGACAGGAACAGGACAGGAACGGACCAGGACAGAGGCGGCGAAACGGGCGAGCAGTCGCGGAAGCACCGTGCACCTAACGTTAGTTGAACAACTCAATCCTTTTCAAACACGCTCCTGGAACTTGGGAAACCTAAGGGAATTCTGTGTTAAACATACTTCTAATTTCTACTGCTTCGAGCTTACAGAAACTATGCGATATAATATATTATGCGAAAAGGATTAACGCAACTACTTTTAAGATTGTTGGGTGTTCGGCAGAGAGAGGATCTAAATGGAATTAACTGGTTAACTAGTGTCTCTACATGTGATATGACCTCATCCCGATCCCACGCCACTTCTGCCATTGCCACCGCCACTGCCTCTGGCCCCGATCCCAACTCCGACTCCGATCCCGGCCCCGCCCCTCGCCTCAGCCCACCGCTGGCGCTGCCTGCGCAGGCGCAAAGCCGTAATACCTCGGTTCCCCATCGGCTTGACCTCGTCGTTCGGCTCGATGTCGATGATGGAGGTGAAGTAGCTGGAGCCCTGCGAGTCCGTCTTGATCTCGTCGGGCTTGACGCTCTTCAGGTCCATCAGGTTGAAGTGCGGGAAGTTCTCGAAGGCGGTCACGATGTCCATGTTGTCCTGCAGCAGGACCTTCTGGCCGGGATACAGCCGGGAGTGCTCGTCGCCGCCGCTCACGATGGTGGAGAGGTGCAGCTGGCTGGAGCCGCGCTTCCGGTGCTCGATCAGCTCCTCGAGGGTCATGTTGCGCTGCTCCAGCACCTTGAACAGCCGGTTGCCCGAGCGCCGGTCCTCGATCAGTTCCAGCAGATCGGTGCGGTCGTCCACGTCGTCGATGATGTTCAGCTGGGACGGCTTGCCCGCCGACAAGGTGGCTGCCGGTGGTGCCGGTGGTTCGAGGAAGGGAAAAGAGGGAGAGGGAGCTGCTGCCGGATGCGATGGCCTCGCCGGAGGAGCCGGCACCTGCGTGTGGTGCGTGTGGCTCTCCACCTCGTCGAAGAAGTTCTCCAGGTCGTCGTCGCCGTGGTCGAGCTCCTCCTCGCTGCTCTTGCTCACTGTTCCCGCTGCAGTTGCCGTTGGTGTCGAGGAAGGGGTGGAACTGAAGCTGGGCTCGCTTTCGGCCAGGTCCACCTCCTCGCCACTGTCGCCGATGGTGCCGCCTATGAAGTTGTCCTTCAGTCGCTTCTGCATCTCCTTGATGCTGGAGTTCCTCAGCCGATAGCGCGGGTTGCCGGGCGGCAGGGAAGGAGCCGGAGAAGGAGCAGTTGCCAGTTCCACTGGTTGCGGTGCCTCGGTGTGAGTGTCGCCCTCTCCGGACTCGGCCTCACTGGAATCGGGCTGCTCCTCGTGGTCCTCCTGCTTCAACCCCTCGTCTGCCTGCTCCTCCGCTTCCCCCTCCCCGTCCGCCTCCCTCTCCATTTCGACGTCCTTCTCCCCGGAGTTGTCCCGCCGCTCCTCCTCGAGACTCTCCTCCATGTAGCCGCCCACCGTGGTGCTGGTGCTGGTGGAGTACGCCGTGCTGGTCTCCGCTTCCTGCGTGGTGGTCGCCACAGTGGTGCTGGTGGTGCTGATGGTGCCGATGCTGCTGGCCAGCGGCTTATAGAGCCCCGGCGGCCTTAGGGTGGACCGCAGGTGCTGTCGCTTCTTGTAGAGTGGCACCCGAGTGGTGGTGCTGCTGCTGGCAGCCGAGCTCGGCGCCGCGGTGGTGCTGAGTGCTGCCCCACCCAGAATGCGTCTTGTGGTGCTGCTCTCCCGCGAAGAGCTGCCAAAGAGCTTCAAACGCTGCAGGGCGGTGGGGAACTTGTTCCTGTTCCTGGCCACCGCCACCGAGGACTCCTCCTCGTCGCCGCCCGCACCCGCCGAGCTGGTGGTGGTGTAGGCTGCCGGCAGGCGACGCACTCCCTGCTTGCTCTGCTGCTGCTTCTTCTGCGAGGTGGCGGATGAGGGGTAAGCGGCGACCGGTGGGGCAACCGCTGTCGTCTGCAGCGCCAGCAGGGCGTTCTGCTTGCCCTTGAGCAGGTCGTCCAGCGAGAGGTTCTTCTGCTGCAGGATCTCGCTGAGGCTCAGGCCGCCCGAGTTCTTCAGGATGTTCTTCAGGTCGACGGCGCTCTTGGTGGGCGTGGCGCCTTCACCCGCCGCCTCCCCCAAAGGGAGGGGCTCCTTCTTCGCCTGGCCGTAGGGTCGGCGGTAGGCCTTGCTGGGTTGGCTGCCCTGCGAACTGGTGTCGGTGGGCTCCACCACCACCCGCTGGCGCAGCTTCTCCCGCTCGCGATCCCGGTCCCGTTCGAGGGCCGCCATGGGCTCCCGCACCAGCGGTTGCTTCCTCCGACGCAGGGCATCAGCGTCATCCTCCACGTGGCCGCGCCAGTAGGCGGAGGTGGGGGGATCTGGGCCAGGAGCCCCGCCGGAACTCTCCTCGGTGGCGCCCATCGTGGCCAGCGGGAGTTGGGGACGCCGCTTACGTTTGCGAGTGGCCAACTGGACGGGACGCCTCCGACTGGACAGACCGCCTTCATTGCCATGACCATTGGCATTCGCATTGGCGTTGGCATTGGCATTGGCATTGCCGCCATCGCCGGATCCCTTGGCATCCTCCACAATCAGAGAAACACCCGTCTGCAGGAGCTGCAAAAAGAGGGAAGAGTGATTGTTTGTTAGCCATCGAGTTCTATCAAGTTGCGGAATTTTATTAAAAATTATTCATCATTCATTATTCAAGTAAAGGAAGTGCTTTGTCAAATGAAAAGGAAATATTCAACAAGTTGAATTTGTGTAAATAAGTTAATTTATGTAAATCCATTTTTCGCAGTGTATTAAATTACTTTCGCACATATGAGTGTAGCGGATGGATGTGCAGGAGTCAGCCGTCTGATTGATGGGATCTATAAATATTTCGCTCGTTGTTTATTGACCGTCGCCATAATAATCAGCCCGAAAATGCCGGGAAAGCCAACGCTCATTTTGGGCTATTGACATATAATCAAATGTGTGTTGTTTATTGGGGGAAAGCCATCTGCTGCACTCCTTTGCCATACCCAAAAATAAAGGTCCTGTTTCTTTGTTATTGATGTTAAATTCCAGCTCGAATGAATTTGTTGTTAACCATTTCTTTTACACATGTGCAATATTGTATTATAATAAGCTAGGATTTATCCTGCTATAAAAATACAGACCAGGGAAATTAGTGTTCAACTCAGTTGTTTAGTGTCGTGTTAAATAAAATCAAGTAGCACATCGGATTAGAAAATAACCGAGATGATAAATATAAAACCGACCCTATGAAAGAAGGACAAGCCTAAGACCGTTTACGCATGTCCTTCGTCCTTATGTAATTAATTTTAAGTTTCGACCGGGAGCAGAGCCGGAAGGAAGCTCTGATAAGACCCGCTCAGGATTGATTATGAACAGCCGGACTGCACATATGTGGTCCCTGAATCAGATGGCAGATGTGTTTGTGTGCACAGGATGTTTGCCTTTGATTAACTGCCGGCAAAGTCGATGGAACGGCATCCTCGTCAACTAATCAGACTAATGCATTATTGGCAGTGGGTAGTTTTGCGGTTTCACCTTTGTCACCCGGCGCCTTTGACCCCTTCGATCGACCGTCCAGGTAGATGCCGAAAATATTGACCCATCAGAGACGGCAGACAACCATTTGATGGGGAACTCAACTCATTACGATGGCAGGGAAAACTGCTGGGGGGAAATGCAAAAAAATGCTAAGAGCACAAACAGGAAAACAATGCGGAAATAATAGAGAAGAGAGCGAGGGGAATCGTTGCATAAGCTCCGGAAAATCGAATCGACGAGTCCTTTGAAATGGAATCGAGGATGCAGCCTCGACCATTACACGCATTTCTCTCACGTCATTTACGACGACATCTCTTTCGACCCGGCTTCCTCTGCCCAGTTTTTTTTGTTGTTTTGTTGTTCTCCATCTGGTCCACTTTCAATTTGGCCTAAGTTACTGGCCATCCCCCTGGTAAAAAGAGAAGAAAAGTGCGGGCAAAGGAATGCAGAAGTATGCATGCATAATGAAGACAGGCGAAGCACAGTGGGCGATTTGGTCTCGCTAGCGGCATTTAATTAATAACTTCTAAACTAAAATAGATATCTTCAGTCGGTTTTTTTTCACCGATCAAAGAAAAATCATACAATTTTTTAAGTTAAAAAAAGTTGTTTTTTTTAATACTTTTTTATTTATTTTTTTTAATTTAAAAAAAATATTTTTTAATTTTAAATTTTGATTTATTTTTATGTTTTTTAAACTTCAATTAATATATTCCATAAACAAACATAATTTAAAAATGGCTAGAATTTTATTCAGAATCATCGGAATCAGACGGCGGCATAGTAAAAATACTAAAATATACTAAAAAAGATCCCTTTTTGCTATTGACATTGTGCCTTAAAAGTACCATAGTTTGAAGGCTAGCAGGTACTAGCAGTTCATATTACACACATTGGACGCCACTGATTCACACTTTCGGCTAATAAAAGAGTTAGACTGAATCCACTTGAATCAGGTAAGTTCTTCTCCACGAAAGACAGGTGTACGCTAATCCGGGCTCGTTGTTAATACACTGAATTGCCACTACGTTTTATGAGCTACACATTTATAGACCGGTCACAAACATTAATTTTTTATGTAATGCATACCTTGAAATTAATAAAAAACCAAACTTTTTATAAATTCACTAAAAATTGTAAATTTCCGAGGAACTTGAATTCGATGCGCGCAAACAGGTAAAATTTTGTAAAGTTCTTTGCAAAATCATTTTCTGTGTTTGTCCGTTCACAGCTGATGATCAGCTCATCGTAGAGCTTTTAAAATGCTTGGATAAATCTAATCAAAATATCTATTATCGAATTGTGAAAAAAAATCATCGCTTTTTGAAAGTTGAAATTTGAATTAAATGCCGCTAGCGAGACCAAATCGCCCACTGTGCGAAGGCTGGAAAATAAAGAGAGCTCACGTCGCCAATCGGACTGTATCGCCAGGGTCTCAACTTGTCCGGCGAACAAATACGGCAGACAGTGCCGGGAATCGGGGAAAACCTTTTGCCAGCTATCAGATCACACATCAGCATTTTGCCTGCAGATAGGTGGATTATAGATGAAATTAGGAAGCAGCAGAATTAAAAGATGAGTTTCACAGAAATCCCAATTACACCAGGAGTACGTATACTTTGCCTGCAAGCGAGCTGCGTTTGTGTTTTGCATTTGCCATTGGACTCCAGTCGACTCCAGCTTGTTTTGGGGCATGTGATTGCAGAGAGGGAATGGCAGGCCAGGGTTCGAAGGCCAACCAGGAGCCCCAGCAAGCCACAAAAGACGTCAGCAATTTAAGTCACTTGAAAATGTCAGGCCGGAGGGTTTATTAGATCCAACTGGCTGGCTGTTCGGCTGTCTGGCTGACTGGCTGACTCACTTCCCTTCGGCAGTGACAGGTGAGAAGCGCACCTGGTTCCACGAACCCGGCGTCCTTCATCTTTGGCTGTCAACGGCAGACGACGCTGTCAATGGCCTTCAAAAGGGCTGCCTTTTTGTGTGGCCAAAGAGCCAATCGACGTCCATCGATAAATGTCAAAAAGTGTTAAACAAACAGTCCAGTTGTCGCCTTATACAACCGTACTATATACTATAGACGTAAGCCAGGCGACGAAATTGTTGCTTTAATTCCGCAGCAGCAAACAAAAGTCATGGAAAGTCAGTCAGCATGCAAACTTGTTATCAATGAATCAAAAATTATGATTGAAAGAAAAATGCAGCTGCCAGAGGTGCAGGCATCATCCGAAAATATGTAAGTCAGCAAAGGAAAAGTTCAGCATACTTAAAACTTAAGAGCGCATTCAAGTTCAGTTATCCGATTAACTGCAGCAGGCGGAACTGGGAAGGCAGGTGGCACAAAAAGGCAGGACCCTGAATGCTGATTAACTTCTGCCCAGGTACAGTCGGCACAAAGGGCCGCCGCACAACTCAACACTCGTTTGCGCCTTTCCAGCACTGGCAATGCCATTTGATTACTTATTACTTTCAATAAAATTCCGTGCCCCTTCTGCGGCTAAATGTGGCAGGAGGGACATAACAGCTAATACAAAGGCTTCGGCAAAAAGTTGAAAACTTCTCCGCTCCTTTTCGCTGCCCTGGACTTTCGCCCGGCAACTAGAAAAACATACAGCCAAGAGAGGAAATGAAAAGGTGGAAGGAAAACTTGCTGCAATGGCTGTTCTTGCTCTTGTCCATGGTGATTTCTAACAAAGTGAGTGGCGACTGCCGACTGCCAGCCCCTAACCACTTCAAACAAGTTGCTGCTTTTCATAATTAAATTGAAAAATTTATGCACAATTAAATGAAAAACTTTTCTTTGTGGTCGTACCCAGCAGTAACCGCAGCAGAGCGAAGGAAAAAAGAAGCCAAAAACAGCCGAAAATAGTCGAAAAGGGGGAACCCGAAATTAGTGGAGCACAATGGAGGCCACTAAGTGATGCTGTGATTTTGGTGCCGAATCCAACCTATCCTGAATCCTGAGCCTTGTTATCACTGCGGTTAGCAGTGACAAATAACCAATGGGCTACTTTAAGCTAGTTAATATTTACATAAGATGTTCCTTCAAAACTAAATATTTTATGCTCTTTCTTTCTTTCTAGATGGGCCGTTTCCACGGTGATGACTCGCCAGAACCTGGTGCCCAGGACACGGCATCTGAGCAGCCAGGAGCAGCCGACACAAGTTGAGAGCGCCAAGCCAAATACCGAGCTGATCTCGGCCCTGATCCCGTACTGGGACATGGCCAACCACAGGCCGGGCAAGATCACCTCCTTCTACGACGAGTGCCGCCAGCAGCTGGAGTGCACCGCCCAGGAGCCGTGTGCCGCCGGAGAGCAGTTCTTCATCTACTACGGCGATCGCTCGAACGCCGATCTCCTGGTGCACAATGGGTGAGTGCTTCGTGAATTGCCAACTCCTCAGTTGGTAATGAGTAGTTCGGTAGAATAGAAGTAGTAACAAACTGGTGACAAACTGGTGACAAACTTGTGACAAACTAGTGACAAACTTGTGATAAACGATATGAACTCAATCGAGGGGGAATTTTCTGCTTGCAGCTTCGTGGACGTGGACAACCGCAAGGACTACGTGAACATCTGCGTGGGCCTGAGCCGCACGGACGAGCTGGCCGCGCGGAGAGCCCGAATACTGGACAAGCTGGGCATCCTGCACAACGCGGAGCTGCGCGTGCTGCCCGCACCGGAGTTCGTCTCCCGGGAGCTGCTGGCCTTCGTCCGCGTGTTCAAGATGAGCGCCGAACAGCTGGACCACTGGTGCAGCGACCTGGAGCGGGCGGGCGACCTGCTGCACATCGACTGCGCCTTGGAGACGGACCACGAGACGCGCACCTGGCAGTTCCTGGAGGACCGACTGAAGCTGCTCCTGGCCGTTCTGGACAAGCAGTCGCGGGACGACGAGCCACTGAGTCCTCAGGAGGGACAGGAGATCGAGTTCATGCTGCAGCAGTACCGCCGCCTGGAGAGGAGCATCCTCTCCGGAGCCCTGCAGTACGCCCGGGAGCATCGCAAGGTCTAGCGACTCCTCCAGTACTTCACCATGGAACACATCACCCACACACCAACACACACACCCATAAACACACCAACACACACAATTCAAGTGGCCATCGACAGCGACATCAATAACTCAGTCTAGCATTAGCAACGTTTTTTTTTTTCTACCCTAACTTAACTTATTCTAATCGAGATTTTCTTTTAGTCGAGTGTTTCTGAAGTTGAATACCAAACTAATTTATAAACCCACAACGATCGATTGTGGTGAAACGATTCTACACTCATAATGTACGTCAAGTGTCGTCTGCGCATTCTAGTTTGTAGCGTTTGATTGTTTTATGTTTGTTTATTTTTATTTTTTACGATAACAGTTTTAGTATTTTGGAATTAAACATGAAGTCAAGCACAGCAGGAGCCCTTAATTGAATGATTTTTATTGGAAAAACTGGTTTCATCTCTTCGGAGAGAGGCGAGGTCAAACATCACTTGGATTCATTTAATTGCCAATAACTAATTGACTTGCCAGACGTCCAGCTGTGACAGCCTCAAAAACCAATCAATTTGCAAAACCAAACCCCCTTCCCCTCCTACTCCCTCACCCTCTCCCCCTCCCCTTTCCCTGCCCCGCCCACTCGCCGCCAGACAATCGCAAACGCACACTTGCATTTCTCCCGGTGGATGCCTCCTGGCGTTGTCTGTTGTCGCAAAGTATTTGATTGCGCCCATGCGGGTGCGGCTGTGTGTGTGTCTGTGCGACTGTGTGGGGTCACAGGTCAGCCGGAGTGGGCGGAGCGTGAGCAGCGACTCACGAGAGGAAACGAAAACAAAACTCTGCACTAAATACATGCCGCTGCAAAACCCGGTTGGAAATCTGTTTTTGGTTCGCAGAATAATTTTTCAAAAAATTAATGATGCTGTTTTCTAGAGAAGTAAACTACAAATGTTTAGAGGTGTGCCAGCTTGAAATCGGAGATGCACATTGGATATTTTTCGAAAGGGGTCACATCATGAAAATTCAAAAAAAAAAATCTACCTAAAAATAGAAAATAAACTAATAATGTAGTTTGCTAGGGAATCGAAATAGAAACTTTTGGAGATATATCACATTACAATAGACCTTTAAGCAAACCAAACAAGCAATTTAATGTGCTTTAATGAAAAGGTTTTTAGTCATTTTTGGCCAGCCATGAATCCTGATGAACTGAGGCAGATTTTGTGCCTGTCACGCGGCCATCTCTGCAGATTGAGTCGTGTTATGGGATTTGGCGAACGGCGCCCTTGCGACAACATTCGGAGCGACAACAATGCACTCCAAATTGCAGCTGCAAGTGGTGTTAATTATGGACCCAATGACGACGGACCCCATCCTGCTGCCGATGGCGGTGATTACGAGGGCGGTGCTGTTGTTGTTATTGTTGTTGTTGTGCCAAGAGCATATATTCAGGCCGGGAATTGGGGAACTATGGCTTCGTAGTGGTGATGGCGGGGGGGCGTGTCGCCAAATTGCTCTGGCAAACACTTTGGAAGACGTCATTAAAATGGCGCGCCTACCCGCAAGGGCCTCCGCCTTCCCCATTCCGCATTCCCCATTCCGCATTCACACTCGCCATTGACATTTGATTTGACACTCGAATAGCTATTTTCCGTATTCACATTTCGCGCCACGCCCCCACACTATCCACTTTCCACAGAGTTGGCACTCAATTTTCACGCTCGTTGGCAAAGTGATTGCTGAAGGGAGCGGGAAATGGGAAAGCGGGAGCTTGGATGGGGAGTGGGAGTGAGGAGGGGGGGCGCGGAGCTCTGTTTGGCCAGTTGATTGAAATATTTGAAATATTCGAATGAGACGACGCCGGAAACTGGGTCGCATCAATATCGCTGGGGCAGAGCATTTATCGCTATCGATTCGCGCCGCCTTTCTAAACCGAATTCCCCTCGATTTCCGACCGGCGCTTTAGCTAATTGCTTTGCAACAATTTTGTTTTGACGGCCAAGCAATTAGCAAATGACAAATGCCCGGCCCAAAAGCTCCCCCCGTTCCCAAACCCCACACCAAAAAGCAATCCCCCCATTTTGGCCAGGCCGGCCGCAGTGCAAACTTAAGCTGCTTAAAATGTATGCAACAGGGGTCATAAAAATGGTGACCGCCTCCCGGACAAAAAGCGAACCAAATTGTTTACGTTGCGTGTGCCAGCGCACAGGATACAGGATACAGGGTGCATTTATAATAATTACTGATCAATATCCATCAGAAATAGAAATCTATAGCAATGAAAGTGCCTTGTAAGTGACAGAGGAAAAGATCCCTAAGTATGTGAAATTTCTATCAGTTAACAAATTCAAACTATTTCCCAATAAGGATATTTCCTGTAAGGACACCCTGTAAGTCGGACAAATAAATTCCAGAGTGTGGCTTTGTCTGCCATGTGTCCGCTTTATTTGCTCGCAAACTGTTGCCAACTGTTGAAATTCTTTTTGTGTTTTGTTGCCATTTTTTGTTTTATTGGTCCGTAGTCTGGAATAAATCTACGCATGTTGTCGCCCACCCACGAACACACGCGCAGAAACGCCAGCTCAGACACTAACACACACACATACACACATACGCATACAGGGACAAGCGAAAACAAGGATACGTTGCCACACGGACACGTGGTTAGAGCCATGTTTGTTTTAATCCATGCTTTGTTTCGCCTCGCAACCCTCTCATGTGTGTGTGTGTGTGTGTGTGTGTGTGTGTGTGTGTGTGTGTGTGTGTGTGGGGTGCTTAAGTGCGTGTGTGAGTGAATGAGTGTTCGTGTGTTTGTGTGTGTGTGTGCGTGCATGACGGTTAAGCACTTAAGCGCATTTCCATAGATTTTAAGGCGATTTCATTTTCAACGCTCATTTGCATGTGACCGACCGACCAACCAACCGACCAATTGCCATTGTATCATCGTGTTGTTCGCTTGTTGTGCCCATAGTATTATTAAGTTATGCTCTTTGTTGCCGCTTGCCGCTTGCCGCCTGTCAATTGATTGCATTTACTGGCGCATCTTAAACGTTTCGCAATTGGCTTAGTTTGCATTTTGGCATTTGCGTAAGTCAAAACGCCAACAGGTGAGTCGGGCGGAGAGGGCTTAGTTAATTGCTAGCTGCTCAGCTGTAAAAGAAAGTTACATTCAACCGGTATTTGCCTTGGGAATTTCTAATAACTCAATTTAATACTTGTGATATCTGCACACACTTAATAACAATGTTTGGTCTCAAAATTACTGACTAATCGGTTTAACTATATACTGCAAGAAAGCTGATATAAAAGACTACGGAATGCAAAGCAATCGTTTTTTGAAAGCATTTCGATGGCAACCCAAAGCAGGCGAAACGCCTTTGCATTCGAAAAGTGGGCGTGGCAATATGATTAACTGTTGGCAGAGGAACGAAAATGGCGCTGAAGCAGCTGCTTCGTGGTTGAGTGGTTGCATGTGCTCCACATGCTCCTGCTGCAGTTGCTGCATATTATTGCCTCGAAGGCAGCGGAGGCGGGGTCATAAAAACAGATGGTAATCTGCGTAAGTGGAAGTGCCAGCAGGTGTTGCAGCCTGCATACTGAAATCAAAACGATCCAGAAAGTGGAAACACTCAAATTCCACCCGCCCTCGAATCGATTTGATGGAACCCGCAGCCTTTGCTCAACTTCTCTCCAAGTTCGCCAGAATTGCACAGGAAAAAAATCCAACTCCCATTGAGTGTGAGAAAATCCCTACTCCAACTAATTGCATTTAATAGATGCAAAATAAAAGAAGTAATAAGCCAGTTGGTTGGGATTTCAAATAACAAATGTACTTTTTGTTGAGTAGCTAATTTCCACAGAAGTGCAGCCTCACTTTCCCCAAGAAATTGCGAGCGGAGGAGCCTGTCAGTTGGTCCTAACAAGGTTAAGTTGAATGGAAACTAATTTGCATGGCACGTGACTGTACCCGAGCGCCGCCAGAGTTGCCAGCGCCGTGTTTGTTTGCAATTAACTCGGCCATTGTTGTCAACATTGTTGCAATACCCACGCAGCGAGCGCTACTTATTTTATTTGCTAATTGCAACACTCAAGACGACAAGACGAAAGTGCTTGACAAGTTTAAGTTTGTTGCAGCAGACAACGGCAGTCATTCAGAAATACCTATATATATACCTTCCTCTATATATATAGTATGTATATAGAAAAATAGAAGGCCGAGCTGCCGGCACGACGGCAAACAAATTAAAAGTGACGCATTTTCCCTACTTCTTCCTCAGTCAGATCCTTTCTCCGCTTTATTTCCTTCGTCGCCAGTAATGCTAAAGAAGGCGAAACTCTGACGGATTCCTCTGATTCACCTGAATTTCTGAGCATCGCTTCGAAAATTCTGCAGCTAATCTCCATGATTGGGGAAAATGCGAGAAGCAGCCACTTTTGTTATGGAATATCGCAGAGTTACAAAATGCGAGGTGTGTCTTGTATTCCCTTAAGCAGAGTTAAGATATTCAATGATGAATCAGTGTTTGGTGTTTTATTTATTTAGGCTTTTAAAGCGAAAAGCAATTAATTTTACACATTGCCTAGGAAATTGCTGTAGAGGGTAAATCGCTTCCCGCACTTTTTACAACACTTTCTGCCATCTACCACTTCCTTTCTGGCTCTCAGCGTTTTTTACACTTGTCGCTGGTTGGACTGCCATCCACGTCGGCATCATCGGGGATCCCAGCTGCATAAGCTGAAAACAAGAGGTCGCCGAGGGCGTGGCATTAACCCAAAAAGCCAGCAAAGCTGACGACGTTTGTTTTCCCAGGACCCTCGAGTTGAGTTGCGAAAATTGCGAGGCGATGAAAAGCCGGGCGGCTTAAGTGCAGCCAAGAAAGGCGAAGGAAAACTCATTGCTGTGCTTATTATTTTCGTATTTTTGCGGAGGAAATTAAGTTTACAGCCCGAGAATATTGTAAGCACGGGCTTACGGATCGCGCTGTGTTGGTTGGTTGAGGGAATTGGATACAGAGTCTCAGCAGAGAAAGGTCATGCTCGAGTTGAAAACGTTGAAGCGCCAGTTTTAATCAACTTGTTCGACTAGCTAACATAATACTACCCCAGTTCTTTGTTGAAGAGGTGGTTAGCTGAATCCAGTACAATTTGAGCTGGGTGTGGACGGATTTATGGCCATCAACTGCAAGTTTTCAGCTTTCTCCGCCGGCCAATTACGCTCGTCAGCTGCCTGTCAAAACTTGCGTCTTTATCAACACTTTCAGTCACTTGAGTCGCTCAGCCGATTTGCTGGCGCCTCTGTTGTTAACAGTTGTTGAGCCAAGGACCCGAAAGGAGCAAGGACATCCTGCGGCTGGCATTACGCATTCATGCTCCGTTCGACACATCGATAACAGGCACTTCACGCACGACAGCTGGAAACTGGCAACTGGA